GCTTGTGGGCATTTTAAGAAGGAAGCGAAATGAGCAATCATGTGCTCGGCATTGATAGTATCAGTGAACTTCGATAGTACCAATAGATGTTTGCGGCGAATTCTTCTCGAAAATTATCGATCGATCATTTGGGAAATGTTTTGGCTTGTTGTTGGGTGCTGTGAATAAGTTTATATGTATTAGATAGGAAAGTGAGTGATCATAATTAGCTTAACTGAAAAATTTTCATGTTTGAGCTCGTAACAGCTGATTCACGATGCTACTGAATCTAGTCTGACGGTGTTAGAGCAAGGTTTTGAATGCATATGTGGATTTGAAGTACTTTCGCAGATTTGATTGAGATCGATAAATAGAGATCTTACATTATCGACCTTATTTTTAATTTTCTGGATGCGTTTCAGTCGTTGAATGGTTATTTTGAATCACCCGAAGTCATCAAATGTATCAGTTTATTCTCATTATAGATGTCGTTGCGAGTTCATATGAAATAGTTATGTTGCAATTGCAAGTGTGTTCATTCATATTGATTATAATTATTCGAAGAAATGGTTATCGTTCAGTCGAACTGTGATTTTGTTTTTTGAAGTTCTTCAGACAATGTTGATGATTTCAGGTTTAACCACTGAAAATGCTCAATCTCCAGAAACGAATAAATGGTGTTGATGAAGACAAAGCCTACTTGGGTACACGCATTTCAATTAGAGACAAGCTGCTAGCGCAAGGTATTTTGTGATTGTAATTTCGTTAAGGTATTCAATTTTCGAATGCAGTTATGAGCCAGTCACTTCTTGAAATTACCTTGTTGAGCATTACATTAATACTCAATGCCAGTAGAGTATGCATAGTGAGAGTTCTAGGAGGAAGATGTTGATGAACCGCAAAATTGATCGGCGTTGCTGATGTCACTGCTATTTTCAGCATTATAATACATTATGTTAACCTTTGTATTATCNTAGCACAAGTCAGTATATTGTTGGATTTATCGTACGTTACTACTTTCAGAAATACAAGAACTGGAATCGAGTCTGAAGAAAATGACAACTTGTAAACTTCATTTTCCATCAACATCAGCTCTTCATCAGATGGAATTAACGGTGACGCCATCTGAAGGAATTTATAAGGTTCATTTTGGATCTCTTTGTCTATTTGATTCGAGTGAATGAAAGTTCGTTCAATTAATTGATCGAAATGAACCCATCGTCTGATCCGACAATTCTGCCAGTTTTCAATCAAAAATATATGGGTAACGTTCTAAGAAACATCGGTTTTGAATCAAATTGTTGGAAAAAGTGTTCGCTTGTGTACTTGTGAAGAAATGATTGAATGTTGAAGGGAGGATCATTCAAGTTCTCTATAAACGTTCCACCAGAATACAACAACGTTCCCCCGGTAGTGAAGTGCTTAACACGTGTGTGGCATCCGAATATCACAGAGGATGGTGCCATTTGTCTTTCATTGCTACGTCAAAACAGTCTTGACGGTTATGGTCCGAGTTCTTTCATCTCTGTTTCATTGAACCTCTCTTTTATCGTTGACTAAACGGAATAGATCCTGAGAAGTATTCGACTGAAAATTTTGACTGAACGAAACTGCATACAGTCACGAGTGATGGCGAAATAGTGTGGTTTGATGGGGATGAGATTAAGTGATGGTATAATGATTATGAAAATGATGAATACCTAAGAGAGAGTGGGTGGTACTGGTACTTTAATATAGTGTGATGTGTGGATTGAGGAATCTCGGGGACTCCGTCACCAATTGGTTTCGAGCCGATCGCATTTTCGGGGTCCCCGACCGCAAAATTTCGTCCTCGACTTTTTTTCCATCGCCACCACACCACACTAGTTCAATAAATAATTCTGATAATAAATAAGAATGATAAAGGGTGGATGCCAACAAGAAGACTGATTGATGTGATACTTGGACTAGACAGTTTATTCACGGATCTGATTGATTTCGACGACGCATTGAACGCGCAAGCTGCACAGCAGTGGTCTACGAATAGGGTTAATTCTTTTCGTGATTTTTTTTTCACTTCACAAAACTGATCAAGCACTCATCGTAGTTTTAAGTTTCAGCAATGAATTCGAGCCAATCTTTATGAAATATGCATGACCGGTTGTGAATGCTATAAAATGGCGTTCAAAAATGATAAAACTTCAGGATGCATTTGTGTCAAAAGTACGTGAATACATCATCAGATTCTGTCGGTAGTCGAGTAAAGGCAGTGTCACAAAATGATATCTATTTGGAGTTGGCATGATGGACGTGGTTCGATTCGTAACGATCACAACTGCATCTGTGTACGAATGTATTTTATACTTTAGCATCTAATCGCATCTGATTGAATGTGCAGCATCTACTCGGTTCTTTTTAAATACAAACCTGTTTTACAGAATTTGTTTATTTTCGTTACTGTTGTGGCTATTATTATGATTATTACTGTCATCTATTGTTTCATACCTTATCGTTTTTCTTATCATGCTTATTGGTATTCTTAACGTCACGGCTATTGCTTTTAAGATCATCATGACTAGAATTATTATCGTCATTGCTAATATTATCCTTATTGTCAGTGAACTTCATCCTCAATCTTTTGATTGTCACTTCCCTTCAAAATCTATTCATTATCTCCCGTTCATTTTTTACGTTCAATGTTCCGAGAATGTTTGAAACAATTTTTGAATCAGTTTATTTTATTTGAATGAATTTAATTAATTTGTCAACTGTTGTTGCGTCTGATACGACTATCATATGCATTCAACATTAAAGCATCATGATTGCTAACCGCTCACAACGAATCATCATGAAAGAATTCATTGAAAATTCTACTGACAAAAATGAACCGAAGAGTAGAAGGCCAAAACATCAAATAAAATGTAGTCCTTAAAACGTCATCAACCCTTGCTAGCTGATTCCCAAATTCTGCTGAATGTTTTTCTCGAATAGCACACTTCATTTATTGCTTAGATGGAATCGTGAAATAGATCTTTTCCACCAACCAGAGAATCTGGTGGGGGAATCCGATGGTGTGAAGAAATCACCATGTTACTGGACGAATATATGTTGATAACACCGATAGTTCGAACATGTTCACACTGTACATAATGATCAACAGAGATACAGCGTTGCCGATCAGGCAAGATAATTTCAGAAGATCGCTTGTTTCTCTGAATGCAAGCAATATTGCCCAGCAGTACATTTACTTTTCTGGAACTAGAGGTTCTGGAGAGTAAGAGATGTTGTCATGCAGACCTGGGAGTACCGTTAGATTGGAAATGGTGATTCTGGAATTGGTTCGTGCTCACGTTGATCGATGCTTATACATTGTATACGAATTGACGTCGTAGTTACGTGAGATGGCTTCAGAAAATGATCGATCCTACTTCGAATAAACAAAATCGCCCATCAATGTGTATACTATCCTGAAGGTAGAGAGTCTGGGAAATCCGGTGGTGTAAAAAAATCGCATTGTTTCTCGAAATACCTGAGGACATCCTTAGTCTGAGGATGGTGATCCTGATACTGTTAAAGTAATATGCAGGTCGATCAGTAGAGAGATAGTTGATTATCTGAAGGCATCTCACATGCTCAGCAGTACTCATTTCAATACACTGTGTTTCTATTGATCAATCTGTATACTAATTTAGTAGTATAAGGGTCACCATCCTCAAATTAACGCTGTCCTCAGGTTTGCCTAGAAACATAGTGATTTTTTCACAAAATCTAATCTCCCAGATTCTTTACATTCTGGAAAATATATAAGAAATTTTCATTTGTTCATATACAACATTGATAATGATGAATAATAAATAAATGAATTATGATAATTATGCAAACCGAAAACGTACTAGGATTTGCCTCATGATGAAACAATTCGAGACAGATTGATGTCGCCCAATACGTATCGCAGATCACCAGCTATAACTGTCTTCGTGGTTAATTCAATCAGTCACGATGAATTACAGCTGAAGCAACCAACCACTGATTCTCAGCTTCGAGAGTCTAACGCTCGGCTGCAACTCCAGTTCCGACTCCATATTGCATCTCTGCATTTCCGAATTCTCCACTTCAGTTCCGACACCAGCTCCGAAATTCGCTTTGCTCTGTTCCGATTGAACTCCCATCGTCTGTGCTTGCTCACAGCACTAAATTTGTCTGCTGCAACAAATAATACCTAATCTGGCTTCAGCTACTGAATATTGCTGTGATTTTTTTGAGGGCACCAAAATGATTAACTCGAGATCACAACACCACAATTGTGCATTCTCAAATGTATAAAATGTTGATAAAGCGCGAGCAAGCTTGAACAATTTCGACGGCNCAGTCCATCCAGGTGGATCTCCTCATTCAGAAAAATATAAATGTTGTCGAGCGATTCTGCCTTCCTGAGGAACTATAGCCATTTTCTTAGACCAACCTCAATCAGATGGCGCAGTCGCGCTTATTCACACAAATTGATCACTATAGAGCAATCAATACGTTCATATGACAATAGAAGAGTTGTAATGTTCGAGCTAACCGTCTCCTCAGGTCTGCCCGAAAACGTGTGGACTTCTTTTCACC